AAATTCACAAATCTTTAAAAAATTTTTTTCAACGTTTTTTTATTTTATTTTTTGGGACAGAGAGAGACAGAGCATGAACGGGGGAGGGGCAGAGAGAGAGGGAGACACAGAATCGGAAACAGGCTCCAGGCTCTGAGCCATCAGCCCAGAGCCCGACGCGGGGCTCGAACTCCCGGACCGCGAGATGGTGACCTGGCTGAAGTCGGACGCTTAACCGACTGCGCCACCCAGGCGCCCCCAAAATTCACAAATCAATGTTATACACATTAATAAAACAAAGGATTAAACAATCATGTTATCTCAATAGATGCACAAAAAGCATCTGAAAATATTAATTCTCAGCAAAGTGCATTTTGAGGGAACATATCTCAACATAATAAAGGTCAAATATGAAAAATACAAGCTAACATCATACTCAGTGGTAAAAAACTGAAAGATTTTCCTTTAAGATTAGGCATAAGACAAGGATGTCCATTCTCTTCTCTTTCATTCTCCATAGTACCAAAAGTCCTAGCCATAGCAATCAGACAAGGAAAAGAGGAGGCATCCATATTGATAAGAAGAATTTAAACTGCTACTATTTGCAGATGACAGGATACTTTATGTAGAAAAACCTAAAGAGTCTACCAAAAAATCTATTAGAATAAGTGAATCCAGTGAACTTGCAGGATACAAAATTAATACCTAGAAATCAGCTGCATTTCTATATACTAAATAACAAAGTAGCAGAGAGAGAAATTAAGAAAACAGTTCCATTTACAACTGCACCAAAAAGAATAAAGTACCTAGGAATAAACTTAATCAAGAAGGTGAAACACTTATACTCTGAAAACTATAAATCACTGATGAACCAAACTGAAGACGCCACAAATAAATGGAAAGATATTCCATGCTCATGGATTGGAAGAACTAATGTTCTTAAAATGTCCATATACCCAAAGCACTCTACAGAATCAATGCAATCCTTATTGAAATACCAATAGCATTTTTCACAGAATTACAACAAATAATACTAAAATTTGTATGGAGCCACCAATGACCCCAAATAGCCAAAGCAATCTTGAGAAAGAAGAAAAAAGCTAGAGGCATCAGAATTCTAGATCTCAAGAGAGATTACAAAGATGTCATAATGAAAACAACAGGGTACTGGGGAAAAAAAAAAAAAGACACATACATCAATGAAATACAACAGAGAATCCAGAAATAAACCTACACTTATATGGTCAGTTGATCTATGACAAAGGAGGCGAGAATTTACATACAATGGTGAGAAGACAGAATCTTCAATAAATGGTGCTGGGAAAACTGGACAGCCACATGCGAAAGAGTGAAACTGGACCATTTTCTTACATCATACACAGGAATAAACTCAAAATGGATTAAAGACCTAAATTTGAGACCCAAAACCATAAAATTTCTAGAAGAAAACATAGGCAGTAATTTCTTTGACAGCAGCCATGGAAACATTTTTCTAGGTATGACTCTTGAGCCAAATGAAACAAAAGCAAAAATAAATATTGGGACTACACCAAATTAAAATGCATTTGCACAGCAAAGGAAACCATCAACAAAACAAAAAGGCACTTTACTGAATGGGAGAAGATATTTGCAAATGATATATCTGATAAGAGGTTAATATCCAAAATATATGAAGAACTCATACAACACACACACACACACACACACACACACACACAAACACACACAAATAATTCAATTAAAAATCGGCAGAGAACCTGCAGAGACATTTTTCTAAAACAGACATCCAGGGTGCCTTGGTGGTTCAGTCAGTTGAGCATCCGACTTTGGCTCAGGTCAGGTCATGATCTCACAGCTCATGAGTTCAAGCCCCATGTCAGGTCTGTGCTGACAGCTCAGAGCCTGGAGCCTGCTTTAGATTCTGTGTCTCCCTCCCTCTCTGCCCCTCCCCTGCTTGCTCTCTCTCTCTCTCTCTCTCTCAAAAATAAATATTAAAAAAAATTTTTTTGAAGACATCTAGATGGCCACAAACACATGAAAAGAGGCCAACATCATTAAACAGGGAAATGTAAATCAAAACTATAATGAGATACCACCTGCACCTGTCAGAACAGCTGGAACCAAAAAGAACGGAAATAACAAATGTTGATGAGGATGTGGAGAAATAGGAGACCTGGCATTCTGTTGTGTGTGTTGGTGGGAATGTAAATTGTTATAGTCACTGTAGAAAACAGTATGGAGGTTCCTCAAAAAATTAAAAATAAAAATAGTACATGATCCAGTAATTCCACTATTGGGTATTCACCTAAAAAAAACAAAACACTAATATGAAAACATATATGCACCCCTATGTCTACTGCAGCATTATTTACAATACCCAAGATATGAAAGCAACCCAGTGTCCACAGATAGATGAATGGGTAAAGAATACACACACACACACACGAATATTACGTAGCGATGAAAAAGGATGAGATCTTGTCATTTGCAATAACATGGATAGACACATGAAGTATGAAGTGAAATCAGAAAAGACAAATACCATATGATTTCACTTATATGTGGCATCTAAAAAGCAAAATGAATAAACGAGCCAAAAGCAGAATCAGACATATAAATATAGAGAACTGATGGTTGCTAGAAGGGAAGAGTGTGGGGGGATGTGTAAAATGGATGAAGGGGAATGGAAGATATAGGCTTCCAATTATGGGCTGAATAAGTCACAGAATAAAAGACACAGCACAGGGAATATGTCCATAATATTATAATAGCATTGTATGGTGACAGAAAGTAGCCACACTTCTGGTGGAACACAGCATAATGTATAGAGCTGTTGAATCACTGTACACCTGATACTAAAGTAATATTGTGTGAATTATACTCAAACAAAAAATAAACAAAATTTAAAACCAAAAACTCTAGGGGCGCCTGGGTGGTTCAGTCGGTTAGGCGGCCAACTTCGGCTCAGGTCATGATCTTGCGGTCCGTGAGTTCGAGCCCCGCGACGGGCTCTGTGCTGACAGCTCAGAGCTTGGAGCCTGTTTCAGATTCTGTGTCTCCCTCTCTCTGACCCTCCCCCGTTCATGCTCTCTCTCTCCCTGTCTCAAAAAATAAATAAACGTTAAAAAAAAAATTTAAAACCAAAAACTCTAAAATTTATGTGGAGAGGCAAAAAATCCAGAATAGCCAACATTGTGTGTGTATGTGTATATACACATACATATGCATAACGGAATGTTATTCGGCCATAAAAAGAATGAAATCTTGCCATTTGCAATGACATGGGTGGAGCTAGAGAGTAATAAGGCTAGGCCAAATAAATCAGTCATAGAAAGCTTTACCATATGATTTCACTCATGTGTGTAATTTTTTTTTAAGTTTATTTATTTTGAAAGAGAGAAAGAGGGAGGAGCAGAGAGAGAGAGAATCCCAAGCAGGCTCTCTCCATTGCCAGCATGGAGCCTGATGTGGGGCTCAAACCCACAAAGGATGAGATCATGACCTGAGCCAAAATCAAGAGTCAGATGCTTAACCAACTAAGCCACTCAGGTGCCCCTCATGTGTGAAATTTAAGAAACAAAACATATGGTCAAAGGAAAAAAAGACACACAATCCAAGAAACAGACTCTTAGCTACAAAGAACAAACCAATGGTTACCAAAGGGGAAGTGTGTGGGGGGGTGTTGGATAGGTGATATTGGTGATGTGGATTAAGGAGTGCACTTGTCATGATGAGAACTGGGTGATGTATGGAATTGTTGAATCACTATATTGTACATGTGAAACTAATATAACACTGTATGTTAACTATACTCGCATTAAAAGAAACAAAAAACAAAAGAAAAACTACCTTTTTAAAAAAGTCAATATAATACCTGATATTAATGGAATAAAGGATTAACATCCTGCCCCCCCTCAAGAAAAAAAAAAAACCCACAAAAAAACCCAGTATGGATAGTCAATTATATGAATTTCTAAAAATTCAACGGCAAAGCAAGGCTACTTGGAAGACTGGACTCTGAAACCAACCGTTCAAGCATTAGAACATATAACCTTTAAGGAAGGATTCCAGAAATGAAGGGAAAAGTTGACTTTTCTCTAAATAGTATTTTAGTTTGCAAGTAGACAAACTTAAGTAAACTTAATATATCCATTAATGTAAAAGAAAACAGTTTTCCATTTATAAACAGAAGATCTATGTTTGTGTAGTAGTTCATTATAAATCCTTAATGAATACCACAATCTTTTCATCTACAAAAAGTGGATCATTCCAATCTTATAAAGGTCTCTTTTGATCAATAGTGTGAGATCTCTTAAATGTTAAGTGGCTATACAAATGACATTATAATTCATAGCAATATGCCAAAAATAAAGAACAGAGTTCAATTTCTTAAAGCACCGCACACATTCATTGCAGTAACCGATGGAATAAACAGAGGTGTAAATGGTGTTTAAGCTAGGTAATATTTTTTTTCCTATGCTCTTCTGTCAAGTTTAAACGTTTGAACTCTTAAAATCCTTCACAGAAATGGAACTAGTTTTCCAGACCGTGAATTGAGTAGCCTACCAGCTGTAAGTCTCCTCTTTCAGTCTAGTTCGTTTACTCACAGCGAACTCGGTCTTCTGAAAGTTTGACTGCCAACATTTCCCAGTATTGCCACAAGACGCCCGAGCACTTCCGGTCCTAGGCCCTAATGAAACTTCAGCAAGCCGTGAAGCAGAGCCTGTTACGCATGCGCACCGGGTGCAGCCTCTCCACAGCGGCGGTTCTCTTTACGTCACCACCAGTCCGGCAAGGACGGCAATCGGCGGGAGTTTTTCAAAATGGGAGCGCAGAGGCGCCGCCCAGGTCTCGGAAGGTGCCCGGGAGGCCATTCGGTAGCCGTGCAGCCGTCGCCAGGAGCGGCGGCCTAGAGAGCCAAGCCTGATGGGCGCCAAGACCGGCTGGCTGCTTGGAGCGCTGCCTAGAAGGGACTGCGTGAAGGAAGCTAATCTGGGGAGCACAGGCCTGAGCCTGGAAATATGGCGACCTGCATCGGGGAGAAGATCGAGGTGAAAAGACTTGGCAATCCACCGCGGGGTGGGCGATGGGGGAGTTGGAGTGGCGGGACTCGAGACTACTGCAGAAGGGGGACCAGACGAATCTAACGGCTGCGGGGTGGGCGCTGAGGTGCTTTGGGAGAGTCCTAACCGCCAGGCCTGCCTGTCTAGGGGCGGAGCGCCCCGCCCCTCTGGCTGGGGTGGTGGGGTACAGGTGAGTCGCTCGCGGCCCCGCCCTTCTGTCTCCAAACACCAAGGCTTCAAGTTGGCTATCCCGCCGGGGCTGCCGCGCTAGAACAAGGCAAAGCTGCCTCCCCCTTCTCCTGGGGGATGGCGGTTACCTCCGGCGGGAGCTGCGGCGGGATTCCACCCGTGCCCTCTGCTCCCAGGGGTTGGCTGGAGATGGGAGCAAGGTGCTGAAGCTGCATTGAGGTTGAGGAAGCAGTTCATTAGGGTGCTGTATCTTGAAGCCAAGCCTAGACTTTCAGGGATCCCCGCAAGGCGTCAACATGCTTTCCACCCCAGACACCTGCTCTATTGAGGTGTAATACCTGCTTCAATTTAAATTCCTATTCCCCTCCCGATCCATTTTATCGTCTTTTTCCAGTCTCTTCTTCTCTTTCTTCTTTATTCCTGTGAGTCATCACACATGTTCTTTCATTTTAACTTTTAAGGATTTTAAAGTTGGCAGTCTGCTTGGTAAAGGATCATTTGCTGGTGTTTACAGAGCTGAGTCCGTTCACACTGGTTTGGAAGTTGCAATCAAAATGGTAAGAATATATTAATCAAATTTTCACCTCTACTTTGCAAGTAATTAGAGAGATGACTTGAGATGCCAGAAACTCCTTACCTGTGAGCCTTTTTTTTTTTTTTTTTTTTTTTTTTATGGGTAGAGAGAACTCATTGCTTAGGCAGAAGACAATAGTGCCAAGTCCAGCAATTAGTACCAAGTCCAGCAATTGACTTTACAGATATATCTTAGGAGAACCTTGACTATGCTTAAATAAGTGTTTTATTTTCATTAATGTTCAGTAAACCTAGTATTTATTATGAAAACTTGGAGTAATTGATAGACATCAAAGAACAAATAATTTGTTTATAATAATGAGTACTACTTGTGCATAGTTCTATATTACACTGTAACAACCTAAAATATTCTTGATTGTTAGGGGGTCATTCTAATAGGAGTACACAAGCAAATTAAGAATCACTTATCTTAAAAAGCAGGGAAAGGGAAGGGAAGTTTTGTTTTAAAGCTTGTCTAGAAGAAAAAGAGAAACAGGGGAAAAATAAAGTTTGGCTAGATTTTTGTTGTTGTTATAGATATGATTGCTGTGCTATTAAATTCTTTCAGTTGGGAGAAGATACTAGAATGCATTGGGTAAACTTACTGAATGTTCACTGTGCCAAGCTCTTTGTTAGGTGTATGGGGAAAACACACAGAGTAAATTGATCTCATAAGTAGATAAAAGGACTTAACAATATTTTAAAGTATACTTTCTCTTCAAAGTTAATTTTTGAAAACTTCACATTTAGAAGTTTATTATCAACATTTAAATGTCTCATGTTATTTTTAGATAGATAAAAAAGCCATGTACAAAGCTGGAATGGTACAGAGAGTCCAAAATGAGGTGAAAATACATTGCCAATTGAAACATCCTTCTATCTTAGAGGTAAGATACAAATTTTGTAGATGTAACCTAAGAACATTGAATTTTTATATTTTATCACTTATTGTGCCCTTTTACATTTCAGTTGTATAACTATTTTGAAGATAACAATTATGTATATCTAGTATTAGAAATGTGCCATAATGGAGAAATGAACAGGTATCTAAAGAACAGAATGAAACCATTCTCAGAAAATGAAGGTAGGTGGCTTCTTTTTCTTTTTCTTTTTTTTTTTTGGTATATATAAATTTTACTCTTTAAAAACTAGTTTTGGAAGAATGTGCTATTTTGTAACGCTTAATAAAAGTGTTTCAATTACTTTGGGTTAGAAAAGGAGACTTTTCATCCCCTCAAAATTAGAAAAGCTGCTAATTCCTGTAAATAATTCAAGCATTACAGAAGTAAAAGGAGAAATTCGTTATCCATCTTTCCCCAAAACCACATTTTAAATTAAATCATTGGTAGCAATTTAGTATCCTTTTAAATCTAGAAATAAACTGTTTATAATGCTATTGATGTCTATAAAGTAGTTTCTAAGTGAAACACAGATAACTGTTAAAATCATTTATTATAGAAAATGTGAAACATATAAGTTGAGAGAGTAGTATAATGAGCCCTCATGAAGTTACCACTCAGCTTCCAAAACTATCAATTCATGATCAAATGTTTCATCTGTACACTTCTTATTCCTCAATTTTCCATAGTATTTTCAAGCTAATTGTAGACATCGACATCTTTGTATGTATAAATATTTTGGTATATATCTTTAAAAGATCAGAACTTAAAAAAACAATAACAGTAACCACAGAATCATTATCACACCCAATAATTCCTTATTATCAAATGTGTAGTCAGTTTCAACTTCTCCAGTTTCTTATAAGTACTTTTTACTGTTCAGATTAGTATCAAATAAGGTCCGTAAGTCGTCACACAAATAATTGTTTTCTAGTTATCTCACCCTGGTAACTGAGATTGCAGGTAAGCTAACATGTGATTGTTGTTACACTTTTTGTATATTTAAGTCTATAACCCATTTTAAAACAGTTTGGACATATGTATTGAATATGCAAATGTTCATATTCTTTGATTCAAGGTAATAATACGAGTTAAAAAATATTCGTATGCATGTTAATGAGGAGTATTGCATTTTTTTTAATACTGTGTAAGAGTAAGGCCTTCTTAAATAAGACAAACTATAAAAACTATAAAGGAAAAGAATTATGAATTTGACTTAATTAAAATTAAGGATGTGTTTGATAAAAGGTTAGGTCAAATTTAAAACAAAGATAGGAGTAAATATTTGTAAACTGTATGACTGGCAAATTAATTTAAAAAAATACAAGGGATGTTGGGGTGCCTGGGTGGCTCAGTCGGTTGAGCGTCTGGCTCTTGAT